GCATTCAATCTAAATATGTTGATTGATGATTGGGAAAAACCGGTAGCCCCCGATTATTCCCCATTACTCTTACAAAGTTTCTGATGTCCTAAAACGTTTATCAAACCTCAAAAAACAACCAATTGAATGAAATTAAAAGCCAAAAAGTTGAAAACATGGAGAAGCACCTTTTGTGTTACTGCTATTTTTTTGTGTTTTCGCGTTTTTTCAACGTTTTTTCATGCTTATTCATGTGTTCCTTTTCTTTTCAGAGCTAAACACGCTGTTCTGACAATTCAATAGATTAAGACGTTCTGGTGAATGCTACTGATTGTGAGCTAGTTCATTAGGCTCATGTGATGAACTTTAACAGGGATCGCTCATTTTTATCTTTCGACAGTGGAGGACGAGTTTGGCTGTTCTCAGTTAGACGAGTCATCACATCCAAACCCTTCTTTAATTGAAGAGTTACTCGTGATGTGAAAAATACAAACCAAATAATGAAATCCATCTGCATCCTGCCACTGGCCATACATAGAGACTTAGAAGGATTGCTTGTGCCTGTTGGCCATAGCCGTTCACTTCATTTTGATTTTTGGTTAACCGTTTTCCCAGCTGGAATGTTACTGGTGTCGTTACACATCGGTAGGCTTTAGCCCGAGATACAGTTGTTTTGTTTTTATCTAGGTTTGACATAGAGATCCCTAGTATTTAACCCCTGTTGTTTGGGGGTGATGTAGTGGCTTTGGAATGAAAGTGCAAATCTTTGGCCTGCCTGTTACGCAGGGTTGCAGGCATTGGTTGCTTGGAGCATTTATTCGTGCACTCTTTTCATTTCCTGGCATGGATTTCACCACAATTGTCAATATCCTGATGTTGCTCTCTTAGCTAGGTCTTCAAATTTTGTTTAATTCAATACCAGCTCCGGTGGACTTTCTTTACGTTCAAAGGTGTGTGAGTTCAGTTGTTCACCTTCTCTTGCTAATCCTTTTGCTTTCAGATACTCTCGAGTATAGTCACATTAAACATTCGGAGCTTTTAAGAGAACAATATATTTTCCTTTGACTAACTGGTTATTGTTCCTGAAATCTGCCAAGTTATCACGAATCAAGGAATTTTAATGACCGGACCGCTTCCACAAGCTTTAAGGTAGCATCCCATCTCAAAAACCAGACAACTAGGATCACTTCAGTTGTTCATAAGGACTGTTCATTTGAATAATCAATAATATAGCATACGTGTATAAGTTTGGCTTCAGTGCAGGAAATAAGCACCCGAATTCTGTCCATAATACGTGTGTGACAAGGATTCGATGGTTACTTATGAGAGATGTATGTAGCATTGCGAAATCCAGAAAACAAAAGCTAAAAAAAGAGAGTGACAAGGTTTTATCAATTAGACAATTTGACCCAGACAAATGAGACCGAAGATGTAACAAGATCGCGCGCGTGAGTACATACAACGCGTGGCCTAACGTGGAATTGAGGTGGTTTGGAAGAAACAACGATTGGAAGATGTAAGTACAAGTAAACAGAAAATACACCAATATGTTGTACATGAAAGAAATCAGGATCTCCCGTTACCATGCAGGATGATGTGTTGATTCCTGCAGTTGAGAACAAGAGGATTGAAGTGGTAAAAATTCCATTCATCATCCAAGCACTACCGGGTTTGAGAACAAGAACAATTAAGTTCACTGCAAACAGGCTGGCTGCTGGCCTATCACAAAGCTTAGGGTGGAGTCAGTGAGCCGAGGGGGTGGGGTAATACGAGCAACTAGTTTATTCTATGAAAGGGCCGATAATAATAATAATAACAGTGGTGACAATAATGGTAATCATTATAGTATTTGTCTGGACTGGGGAGGGGAGGGACGCCATGGAATGATGTGTAGTTGCTTTGTTTAAACAAGCCATTGAGAGAACACATGAAGATTGTTTTACACATGGTGGGCTCTACCACCAATTGTCACGATGCATTAAATAACGGGGAAGTAGGAATTTCATACAGTCCACGGGGATAACGGGAATGGAACGCAACCGGTGACAATGAGCGGAAGGGACAACATCTCAGTGAGCTATCATTATTATTGCTGCAGATGGTTTGGCAGAATTGGAAGAAAGAAGAAGGATAGAGTCACAGTTGTTGCGAACTTTCCGGGATGTTCCAACTGGACGGGTCCGATTCAAACAAGACTTTCTTGGGCAAAACATTGAGCCTGAAATAACAACACAGATGACGGATTCAATCATTTGAATGTAAATAAAAAATCAACAAATTTTGTCAAACTACTGTGAAATGAAGCAAAACGATCAGAATCAAAAGGACAGGCTGTAGCAAAAAACCTTCACAGATTGGCACACTTAATGAATGAACTATAATGTAACACTCTGAATATCGAAGTCTATCCAAAGTTAGTCAAAAGGGTACAGAGAGGAAAAGATCGCGACGAGGCAACGATCCTTATGTGAACTACCACATAAATAGAATCTGTTCAAAAATGCAATAAGAAGTCACGTGCCATCCTCGTGAACTTCCAGTCCCCTCTGAAAATTAGGAAAAGCCTCACTAAGAGCGGCACAAAAATAACCGTTTTTGATTGCCAAAGCAACTATCAAAGCAGTGGTGTCGTTTTAAAGACTAGTTAGCAATCAGCAATATAAGTCCTGAAGTTTAAGTCTGACAGCCTCGGTTACCCGTCCTCGTGTAGGATGCTTTAGTAAAGCAAAACTGCAAACATCAAAGGTGCAACTTTGATAGTCGATGGAGCGTTTGCAAACAAACTGGTTTGCATAACAGAATGAGAAGAAAAATGTGCGCGCAGTTCCAGGACCGGATGTTGCTCACACTTTCTTTTCGTTTTCTAGCGAATCTTTTTCAAAGATGATGTGAACTATGGTGTATTATTCAGCGGATGAATCACCGAAAACGGGCTTGCTCGCTATTGTTGTTCTCAAACTATGTGAGAATGATATTGAATCGACAGATATAAAGAAGCTGTACTATTCAGAATAGGCTGATGACATTGCCTGTCTGTCCGAATGTATGAAGATCACGCCAAACGCACTGTATGTACCATTAAGTACTGTTTTTACATTCGGTATGTGCTTTGTATCTTCAAAGCGCAAAGTGACTGGCTGTCGCTTAGTCCCGCTCTGAAAGTAAACGGCCAGAAATTAGTTAGAGTCGATTGCTTTTCCTACTTAGGTGGCTAGTTCACCAATGACATCAAAGGAGATAACCACCCGTATTCCAGAGACAGGGCTGTGTACGCTGGACTGAAACACCAGGAGTAAACGCAACGTTTCACTGAAGTTGAAAGATCGTGTATACTATGCTACCGTTTGTTCACTTCTGCTTCGTGATTGCAAGACATTGAATTTGCGAGTAGAAAATATCCATCGACTAGAAGTTTTCAACCATAGGTGTTTACGTAGTTTAATCCACTTGGGACGGAGCAAACGGGCTAGTAAACTGGAGGTAAACCGTCGTGTGGTTGAAAGTCTATCAGGTATAAAACTGGCAGCACATCGAATTCAGATTAGTAGACTTCGCTGGCGGGGCAAGTATATTGCTTATGCTCAGCTACCATCTACCACTTCGTGCCCAAATTCACTGTAGCAGCTCCAGGCTGGAGGAAACACCGCGGAGGTCAACAAATGACGTGGAGACGAGGCATGAAGAAATGCACAGTGCTATTAGGTGTCCCACGCCTTCCAGGTTGAGGGCCAAAAGATTCCGGAACTGTTTGGTTGGAGACACTGAAGGATATGCCAGGGAACCAACAGTAGTGTTCTTGTTGTCATTTCTTATCAGTCCAGAATGCTTGAAATGTTTGTCCTCTTGGGGAGACTCGTTTAAAAATGCCACAAATCCCCCTGATACGGTGTTATTATCGTCAGAATACATCAAATTGATCAGAATAACCATTTGAATTCATGTATTTCATCAAGTAACGAGATTTTAGCCCAAAAATTGATGTTTTTGTTCGAAATAGAATATCATTTTTTGGACTAAAATTTCGTTACTTGATGAAATACATGGATTCAAATGATTATTTTGAACAATTTAATGTATTGTGACGATAACAACATCGTATCAGGAGGATTCATGGCATTTTTAAGTGAGTGTTCCCCTGTGCTCCCTGGGTTCACGTAAGACACTCACCTTTGAGACCACAACATGAACTCATACGGAGAGACGAACGTGTCTGTCGAATTACAAGCTGCACACTTGCCTGATATACTATTTGGTTCTTGTCCGGCAACGTTCGATACTATTACCTAGAAGTACAACTGGTTTTACACCTTGGAACATTCGGAGTTGATAATGTGGAACAGTAGGAGAAAAATTCTGTTATTGCATGTGTGTTTAGGCGAACAGCGTATTAATCGGTTTTGGCCGAGAATGGACATTGTCTGGAATATGTCAAGTTAGTTCAGTATATTATGCCAAGGTGTTTGTATGGGACAATATGGGGACTGTATGATGTTTCTCGCTTTCTTTCTAACCCCATATTAGTACACCGTTTCAATGACCGGACGGAAAGTGGGGGATGGACCTTCCAGTGTCATAAAATTTGACTTACAACAACACTTTCGACCGTTGTTCGGGACTCAACAAACTGATTCGTGTTTCACTGAAAAGCAATACTATTTTATCTTTGTTCTGCTGAACAAATAAACACATATGAGTATGATTTTTCAGGAAAAAAACTGAAGCCAATTCTTCTAGTGAAACTTGTGCATCCTTCGTTAATCGCGAGTGGCTGTGTATTGTGAAGTGTTTGATTTATCTAGAAAACTAATCCGTAGCCAGATATGCAAAGTATTTTACACATAGGGGTTTTGGGGCAGACCACCAATCAGAGCTGGGTAAAGATCTCACAGAATACGATAATGAGAAATCCCTAAGTAGATCAAAATTTCAAACGCCGATTTCATCTCATCGTTACTTACCGATCCAAATAGAACCAAATTACAGAGCCAATGGTGTTCCATAAAACCAATGCACTGACATACACAAAAATACAGTACAGTGTGCGACCCAGATAGTCTCGTGCGGCACTGAGCCACGATTCCGATTGTTTGACCACTTCCGTGAAATAATCGGAGGCGTTATATCTAGCGAGACAGAAAGAAAGAACGATAAGCAATAAGAGTGCGGGAGCAGAAGTTCATTTGTGATAACGAGCAACAAGCGTCGAAAAATGTCTCTCTATATGTGTGAGATTACGTGCCTAATATTTCCCCTGGGATCATTGGTTAGGAGAGAAAAATGAGATGGTGAATGAATTCTCACTTGTGATCTGCACTACCAGACCCATATTCAGTAGCCTTCAGCCAAAACAGGGATGGGTTGAATGTGTTCAGGAAAAGTTGCACTGATTTAGCTTACATTGTCATAATGGGATGGGAAACTTTCTCTCTTTCTGAACGCGACAAGCATATGTAGGATCAGTCTAGACGTGGTCGGTATGGTCTGTAGGTTGATGTTCGAAGGTTACCGGTTATCGACTACTGCGATGGGCAGATTCGGTGCATTTAATTGAATCAATTGCTGATAGCTCAATGTGATGACGTAAGAAACGAAGTAGCGAAATTACGATTTTTTGTGCTTAGATTTTAGTTGCTTTTTGCGTGTTATGATTATTGCATACGTCTCATACATCACCGCCCTCATTTCACAAAGCAGATGGGAAATGAACGTCGATCGTATCACCTGGTGATGGTGGTTCGGGGAAGGGGCGGGAGAACTTCGAATTCCAACCCGAAAGTCCGCGGTTCCAATTACAACACAGGCACCGAAATAATAAGCAATGTTACTGACACTAAATGTTCTTTCTCGGCCACGATACACTGCTCCCCTCAAATAAAATGATGACATTCTATACCTTTTTCAGTTTAAGATGGCCGTAATCCAATTTAAGATGTCTGAAATCCGATTTAATTTGTCAGAATATCAATTTAAGATGTCATGTTGCTATGGGGATAGCACATTGCACAGTAAAGAATGGAAACATAGCAACATGACATCTTAAATTGGATTTCGGATATCTTAAATTGGACTTCGGACATCTTGAACTGAAAAAGGTATAGAAGATAATCCGAAACCTCCATCTATCAGAAGCAGAAGTAGCCCTGCTGGCTACTTCTCATCTGTATAATGTCTCACTGAAACAAAAAACGAACAAAACGAAAATAACCACTTTCAAGTAAAGCATTTTATATTCTCAGTTTCAGTTTGTACAACCAATAACCATGAACTTTCGTGCGCCGGTTTTGGTTGCTGTCTTTTGGCTGCCCATTGGGATGAAGAATAGGAGAAGAAGAGGAAAGTTGAAAGTGGAGTCGAAAGGAAAATGGAGAAGTTCCGTGGACTAAGGTTGGGAAGAAATTGAGGAGATGCACTCTGAAAGTGAAGTCGAACAAAAAATGGAGAAGTTCAGTGGTCTAAGGTTGCAAACAGATTGAGCAGATACACGAACGCCTCTGGTTGCGACACCCAGCCGTATCACTCAATGTCTCTAACCACCACATACGATCATCCTGAGGTCCATAGTCATGGAGCCTAACAGAACCTATGTGACCCAGTCTCCTGGTTAGGTTTTTCATACCCTAGTGCCAGGTCTTAGCTTGACCACCCTTGGCATTTTCCACTCCGTATCTGCTTCGGCGAACATCGCTCGCCGTAGTAACCTACCCGGTGACATGCGTAACACATGTACCAACCAACGTAATCTATGGAGGTCGACCACTTACTCCAGTAGGCGACCGCGGATACCCAAAACTCTGCCCCTAACCTCAACATTGCTCGTTCGGCTACCCCACCAGATTCGTGCAATGCTGCGTAGACAGCGG